GCGGCTTGCTCTTCAGGAAAAAGTAAAGAGGGCGGTTGCTTAGGTTATAAGCTCTCTCTCTTAACCTAGTCTAGGGCACATTCACTGAATAAATCGCAAAAATAAAGTAGCGGCGAAACAATTGACACAACCTAGATGAATAGGCAAAATCTCCTTTTATTTAATGGGATAATGAGATTATTTACATGCCAGATAAGAATGCAGAGGGCGTTAGAAACAAGAAGAGGTCGAATTTAATGCATATTGTATCTGATGACATATGTCGATAATCTTTCATAAAGATGGTAGCAACAACAACCGGTTCATAAAAAATCAAATGTGAGGACACACCTGGCATACATGGATGATTTGAATTTTGAAAAGGGCCTCGAGATTTATGTTCCTTGCCTGTAATATAAATGAAATTAAAATTATACGTGACCATATTGAGTATGTAATCTACATTACAAGGTCCAAGAAAATAAAATTCAGAAATATCTCCTCATTTCCATACCCGTGCAAAAGAGGGATAAAGATTCATTAATCAATTACCTTGCTAATTGCTATTATTATAGAAAAAAACATAAGGCGATAAAGGATTTGCCCAAAATGCTTTTGCAAATTTGAGTAATCATATTCCATGGTTTTATATTAATTCCTTTTCAAGCGAAAATATTTAATCCAAGAGGATTTTATCCATATTGATGTGTAATCTTGGATGGATAGACATCTCAATCCTAAAGAGTGCTACTCTCAAATTAAAATCTAGAGATTATAAAAGTTTCCTTAATCAAGGAAAAATGTGTATCCAGACCTGGATTTTACGCAAATTTTGGTAAACGTATCTCTCAATGAGAAATAACACGTTCACTGTCCACTCTTGTGAGAAATGACAACTCATAGTGTGAACATTTTTTTACTAACAAGCAGTACATTAACATCTATTTCTTGTTGCTTGTACATTGTATATAGCCCTCGCGTAAGGGATACTATGTGATTCTTATTCATCTTACTTACTAACTAGTGTGTGGAACTTGGAACCTGCATCTCTTAAATAATCATGAATTGACAATACGGGAACTAACTTTTTTGGCAACTGCCTTTGCCGCCACCAATCTCATATGGCCTATCCATCTTATAGGCTTATTTAAGGACTCGGTGAAGTTAACATTCGAGACTCGTTTCTAATTATTTTAGCAACAATAGTGATAACCGAATGGTCAATGCAGAGTAGTCAGACACAGTTTCTCAAAATGTTACAAGCAAATCACGATATTCCCGATGATATGTTCTTTAGGGCTGAACTATAAATGACCGTAAAGAAGGCAGGAATAACATTGTAAACAACTATAATAAAGACAATTTCTCTTTGAAAAATCTGATATCTCTTTACAACAGCACAGAGGATGATTATGCTTTAAAATTACTAATGAACTCTGAACAAAATGTTCGATTTCTAAGCTGATCGATATTTACAATGTCGTGTGCAATCAGTATAATTTTTTTTTAACAAATTCAACCAGAGCCAATTATATAATATTAGGAATTCCCATGCATAAGTTCTGAGATACGAACTACTATAACTAAATTAGGGCAAAACCATACCAACAAAAGCAAACAAATGATACTGAATTTTATTCGTTGCAGACTGTAATTATAATAAGGAAAACACCAACAAAATCAAATAATGATAAATTGTGAGTATTGATCAAAATACATACGAGAAAGGGGAACTTACCACAAATATGGAGCTTCGAATAAGAGAAAATGGATGAAGGAAAAAAGGATTTGTTCAACACCGGATGAAAATGCAGGGTTTCGACTGAAAATTCCATCGGCGATGAATCGAAATCGATAAAACTCGTCGGCGTGAAGAAAATACGCCGGCAAATCGGCGATCGTTGGTCGGGTAATCTTAATTTTCCAGTTGAGCAATCTAATAAACTGGGCTCCAATTTTGGGTCAGAATTACATTCAACATGCACACACAGCTTTTGATCAGTAGGTTTCAATTTGAAATCTGGAATTGGACCAGGCCCAATAACTTTGGGTAAATTACAACCACCCCACTGGAGTAAGATTTATTTATGAAAAAATCCCTATTGCGTCCATAATTACATCATTTTCTGTAATTTGTAGATTTTTTACATTGACACCCTTTTTAGGTGGTGGGTGTAAGAAATTACAAATTTCAGGGGGGGCTAAATTTTATTTCTTACAAAAAGATTATTTTCGTGATTACACTTTACTAGATGGTTATAATTTACCCTAAATAACTATATCAAAATTCAAATCGAGTCGATTAATAATAAGCATAGGCTCAAGACAAAATATTCAAAAAAAATTAAGCCTAATGTATTTCGTTGATGTAGGTAGCATAGTATTAACTGTGGACATACCCATCACACGCCATTTAATTATTTATTAAAATTGAGAATTAATAAGTAAATTCAAATAAGATCCAAGTGACAATTAATATAATCATGTGATGATTTGATTTGACCATTGGAAATTAAATTAATTAAGCCCACTAAGTATGAAAAAAATATTTTTTTTTCTATATTTTAATTATTCAATAATATAAGCTTATCCTTTTAAAAATTCATCATTATCTTAGTCCTGGTTTTAAGCTCATGATGTAATGAAACTCATACCTAAAAGTCATACATTGAAAGATGAGTGAGTTGTGAAGAAACCTCTCTATATCATCTTGAAATTAATTTTGCACACAATTTTTAAATATATATTGGTGAATGGTAAAACCAAAATCAAACAATAACCGATTTTGTTTTATGTATATTTTTTTTTTCTGGTACTGAACGAACACGCAACCAATCATATAAGTGCATTGGATAAATCTAAACTCTCGTACAATAACTTGTAAACTATTCGAGAGACGTAAATCACATTAAAAGACTGACCGTGTATGACAAGCTCCATTTAGCAACCGTTGACGAGGTTGTATATTCATTTGTGCATTTTAATCATTGAAATAGATATATACTTGTGTAGGTCAATTATAATACTTCAACCTTCACCAATTATTTCTACTTACTTCACCAATTTTTAAGTTATGTGCACGATCGAGTTTAGGTGGCCTTCTCCATAACCAATTTCATTTTTATTAATATTTGAAATATTTAATTATCAATATATGTGTGCGCATGAGATTATAAATATAATTTCCAGGTCAAGTACACATACATTAAAGATCACCCCTTTATACATTAAATACCCCATTCAACTATTAAAATCTCCAAATACCCCCTTTGACCTCAATAAAATTAATGGAATTTACAAAAATATCCCTACGTTTTCTTTTATTTGTAGTTGAATAAATTTATAAGAGTATTCGATGCAATTAATTAGATGAATGAGTATTTGATGACTTTAATAGTTTCAGATGTATTTTAAGGACAAATTCAATTGCATGCACCGCTACTGTTACTTCGATAAATTAATAATTTATCTTAAATAATATATTTTTATTTGAGCCCTGACTCGGTGAAAATATATTAAATTATTAATTTAATAATTTGTTAAATTAATAGAATGTTGTTAGTACCGACTGCATTAACTTACGCCGATTTAGCTGTAGGTGTACAGAAGCAAGGAAGAAAGTTTCTAAGTCTATTTTACATATTATTGACTTTTGATACATGTTAATTAATTTAAGAGCAACTCCAATGGGGAGATATCAAAATGGAGCATTAAATATTCATTTGATACTTGATATAATACTTTGATACTTCTTGAAAAAAAATTCACTCCAACCACAAGTATCAAATAGATTATCAAATTTTAAATATATGAATAATTATATTTTTAAATGCCACGTGTCAAATAGTGATAGGTTAATTGGGTGGTTATATTTTTGATACCTTATTTTCCAGGAATTATTTTTGCACCTCCGGGTGGTTGAGTATCAAAATAATTCTCCATTTAATGCCTCCATTGGAGGAGAATTTTTTAATTTTAGAGCATCAAAGTGGTAGTTTTTAAGTTTGATACCTCATTTAATGCCTCCATTGGAGTTGCTCTAATGCACTTAATTTATTGTTTCAATTGTCGTGGGCAAACGTGAGATCTAACGTTACACAGTGTGCACTACTAACTAAAGTCAAACCAACCAAGTAGTCACATTGAGTTTTTCAATAAGGAAGTAATTGATGATTTTATACTAATTTCAATTTGGTCCTTTCGATTTATATCCCTACTAAAGGAGCTTCAAATCGTACGACAAATACCGTTTTCACTCTTAAGATAAAGGTAAGTTTGAACGATTAATCTAGAAGATTATGTTGAATTTGACACCATAAAAATAGATGTGTAACAAGATTCATATTTGAGGGGTGGTTGTAATGACCCAAACAGAAGGAGGTTTTCGTAATTTGACCTTACTTCAAGGGGTTGGTTGTAATTTGCCCTTTATAATTTAAACTCCGGGTCAAATTGTAAATATCAAGAAACAACGGGCCAGAAATAAAATATAATTAGATCCGCACAACTTTCCTTGTCCCTTCCATATTAATTTACACAGCTCACAGGTTGACTCTGATTTGTTCTTTCTTTAGACTTCCATTATTACGCATCGATCTTTACACATATAATAAAAGCCACCCCTAAGTTATAGTAAATTATAAAAACCTCCCTCTTGTGTGGGTAACTACAGTCACCCCTCAACTATGTAAAATATCCCTCCAAAAGTAAATTTATGGATGTTAAATCGGTAAAACTGAACCGAAATTTTAGTACGCCAATGTTTCATACCGTTTACCGAATTGCATATACTATTTGGTCCGGTAAATAACCGAATTACATAAATTTTATGTAAAAGTATTTAAAAGAAGGAGGTGATTGAATTACCTAAAAAATAGGGGTTTTTTGTTAATTTGGTCATACCTAAGGGGTTGGCCGTAATTTGACATATAATAAATCTCAACTCTATAACATTAAAATCCTCGAAAATCTCAACACAACTTCCTGAATTTTCTTCTGCAATGGCGGAGAAGGAGAACACCATTAATCATGGAGAATTCGCCATGGATTTTCCTCAAGATTTCAGGTGCCCTATTTCCATGGAGCTGATGAAAGACCCAGTCACCATCTCCACCGGCGTAACCTACGACCGGAAAAACATCGAAAAATGGTTCCACACCTACAAGAAAGCCACGTGTCCGGCCACCATGCAGCTCGTCGACAATCCCACCACCACCCCAAACCACACCCTGAACAGACTCATCCTTTCCTGGCTGAACACCTCCCAGTCTAACCACGACCGCCGCCGTCCTCCGCCGCCACTACCGCCGTCGTCCAAGCACGAAGAACTGGCCGCCCTTCTCGCCGCCGTCAACGACTCGACCCCTTTTAAGGTAAGTTCGTTGAGAAAACTGAGGTCCGTCGTGGAAAACGGAGATCACGCAATAAAGGAGGATTTCAAGAAATCCGGTGGGGTGGAGGCGCTCGTCTCGATAATGGTGCAGATTCTGTCCGATGATTCGGGTTTTACGATGTTTCGAGCGTGTGAGGAAGCGCTGGGTGTTTTGAACCAGATCCCATTTTCCGATGAAGACGACGAGAAAATATTGCAGCTTCTTATGAACCCTAACTGCATGAAATCAATGGCGGCCGTTCTCCAGCGCGGCGGCGCGGAGGCCAGATTCTGCGCGGTTTCCATTTTCCAGAAGATTGCGAAAGCCGATTACCAGTGGTACTACGTGGCGGAAGATCAGGGCGTCGATTTCTTCAAATCGCTGCTCGAAATCTCGTCCGACGAGATCTCGACAGCCGCGAGTTCTTGCGCACTCCAACTGTTTGTCGAAATGCTCGAGGCGTCGAAGAAGTCGAGGCTGAAAGCGGTTGAAGCCGGCGCGGTATGCACGCTGGTGGAGCTCCTGCCGGATTCGATCCGGCCGAAGAGGTGCGAGAGGATCATGCAGCTGATCAAGCTGCTGTGCGAGTGCGCGGAGGGGCGGGCGGCGTTCGCCGAGCACGGATTGGGCATCTCCGCCGTGGGGAAGAAGATGTTGAGTGTTTCCAGCGGGGCGACGAAGATTGGGGTGAAGATCTTGTGGCTGGTCTCGAGTTACCACTCGACGGAGAGGGTTCTGGAGGAGATGCTGGTTTGCGGGGCGGTGAAGAAGCTCGTGGCGCTACTGCATATCGGCGGGCGGTCGACGACGAAGGAGAGGGTGGTGAAGATCTTGAAGATGCACGGCCGGACGTGGCGGCGGTACCCTTGTTTCCCCGGTGACGTGAAGGAATACTTGGGGTTGGAAGGGAGTAATTAAAAACGAAGAGGTAAAATATACGGGAAATTAGATGTTGCACCTGGTTAGTTACATTGTGTGAATTTGAAACAGTTCGAATTCATCTGGTGTAAATAATTAATTAGGTGTAACATCTAACTCTGTTAAAATACAGAGAGAAAACGAATCATATACATTTGTAAAATATTTTTGTTAATGTTGAAATATACATACATAAATTCTTTGTTCAAATCAGAATAAAGCGAAGTAAAATTGCTATATATATTTGGTCCTTTTTATTATTTCTGAAGATATATAAAATTGCATACAAAACAATATTTAGTTTCTTTAGTTCATGTCTTGTTTAATTTAGTTCAATAGTTGTCAATTTTATTCAATATATTTTCTTATCCAAAAAATAAGTATCACTAAATTATTTGATTGATTTTTATTATAATTAGTGAAAATATTTGGTAAAATTTTTTGGAAGAATATATATTTTTCAAATAACTTGATACCTGAATGGCTGACATATATTTTTCGTTCGTATTGTTTTTTGTAAAATATTTTCCAGTGAAACATTTTTTTGATATGTTAATGAGATGGCATTTTTATTTTTGCACATTGCAGTTTCGAAAGGATTGCTGAATAAAAAAAGAAAATCTGATTTGACATTTGACATTTGACATTCTAAAAAATACAACTAAAAAATATTAAAAATTACCTTTATTAGCTTTAAAACCTCATTCGGGGTGTATTATGCATGGTTCATTGTGTTTCGAGGGTGCAAAATGCTATAAAAACTATTTGAGGGTGCAAAGAGTAAAAAAGTATATTTCAATGGCGCAAAGTGAGATTAAGACATTTTATTTGTCTTGTGTTTGACAACAGACCTTTGAAGAGTTGAAATAATTTTTAAATGCTAATCAACTGCTTATTGGATGGAAGGTGTGCCACCCATTAATTCTTATTTCTAGAAACTAATTTTAAAATAATTTGCAATAAATATTATATTTAATTGTTTCTTGAACCCTCAGTCCCTCACTAATTGGGATTTGTTGCCCTATTAATGTCTAATACGACATTAGACAATCAAAAGGGATAATTTGCATCTACCCTCCCCAAACTATGACCAATTGATAAATGTACCCCAAACATTTAATTGATATCTGGCAATCACAGCTTTAAGTATTTAAAAAAAATGGGCAACTATTTTGAATACTAATTTTTGCTTAGTTGAATACTACCTAGTTGAAAACCACAATTGAGTACATATTTTTAAGTTTTTTCTTACTTTAATACCAAAATAAAAATAAAAGTACAAAAATACCCTTTCATACAAAATACTAATTATTAGAGAATACATATTCGTCGTTAATAATAATTTGACAATCTCACGGAGACTAATGATAATTTGACAATCTCACCCCCTCCATCTATTTTTTTTTTCTTTTAGTAGAGAATACATATTCGTCGTTAATAATTAAAAAAAAAAAAGTAATGGTGGAAATTAATTGAGTCGAAAAAAATGTATTTCGTTAATATTTTTTATCGAGCTTTTAAAATTGTATTTGAGTTTCATTTGCTCGAGTAACTTAATATATATATTTTTTTTATTTTCTTTTCATTCCTTTTCTAAGCAATCTCTAACTCGAGCCAAGCTTAATAGATTAACACACGAAAAAAATATTGTCAAGCTTAATTTGTGTGTTAACTAACGGATCGAGCTCAGATAAGTTTTTAATGAATGATCTCGAATATAATAAAATAATTTACTTTATTTTGAATTTAAACCCTAACTAGAAGTCATTGTGTGGTGAACAACATATCGCTCAGTCCACGAGACAAAAAATAAAAATAAAAATACTCTTTCATAATAAAAAAATGCATAATTAGTAATTAATAATTAATAATTAATAATTAATAATTAGTCAAAGCTACTACATAGTTTTCTGGTTGGTCTTCCTAAAATTAGTTGGCGAGAATATGACGACAGCATGTTGCAGACACCGAAATTGTTGAACAATTAATGTATTAAATTATTTAAAATATTTAATTTTATTGAATTCACTATAATAGTATAATATCGATAATTACCAAATACTTGCATTTTAATAAAATCAAATAATTGGAGGAAAATTTTCAAATCTATAAATAATAAATTTATTGAGATTGTGTGTGCATTGAGCTGTTTGCATGAATTCTAATTTCTCAGTGATTTTCGGATTCCAATAAAATAAATCAAAATAAAGAAAAGGAAAAGGAGGATCTGAATTATTAATTCTTTTAGTTAATTTAGTATAAAATAATTAATAGTTCAGACCCACAATAAAAATTGGAGTATACAATTAAATGTTACTAATTCGATAGAATTAGTAGCTAATCAGACTTCACCATTAATTAATTGTCTAGTTATTTTTTTATCCCTAAAATGATACAAATTACGATATAACCATTTTTAAATTAAGAATGCGAATATGTTATTGAAAATTGCATATAAGTTCATAGATGAAGACTTATTTGCACTTCCATCCAGGTCAAAATCAGTTATACATGGAAGTTTATCCTCTTGTTTTTTGTCCAAAATGTCCTTCGTAGTATAATTTACATCAATTTCTTCCATAATGTCTCAAGTTAACAAATATTACATGTTGCCCTCAAATTTTAATAAATATATCACATTAACCTTCATTTTCACAATTTTTCGAAAAACATATATATTTTTTTTTCAGAATTTCTTTTTTCTCAACTTTAATTTTTTTCGGCAACCAACCGGTGTTACTTATTTTATTTATTCCTTTTTTTTTCAAAATAAGTGCTCGTGATTTTTGCAATTGGCCCTTGAAAAATCACATTTGATTCCAAATTGTAAACTTTTAATTCTAAATCTAATCCAAACAACCAAGCATCATACCAACTAACCAATTAGTTATTCAATAGATAACGAATACAATCCAATATAATTTAAATTTTACATTTGGCTAGTCTCTATTTTTTTTTCAACTCATGGCTAAAAACCACCCTTGTAAATCCATCAATTAAAAAAATACAAATAAATCTTAGTAAATATGAGAATATATACAGATGAATAACGATACAATGTGATCAATTTATGAGTTCGATCGATTATCATTTAATTTTTTTTATTAGTACGGAAAACAACTTATCTACGATTTTCCTAAACGACTGATATATATGAATTTTGATCAATAATATTACATTAATTAAGATTTTTTTTTACATGTAATACATGTGGAAAATTAAAAACGACATATGTATACATAAATTTTCGTAAAAACATTTCCGAAAACTAGAGTTTCCTCAAATATCAACTCTTATACACACCTCAATTTGTTAGGTTTCAATAACATGCTCTTTTTGTAGTCAATTAAGCCAAATAAATATTAAAGAGCCCTAGCTATATATATTTTCAAATTAAACATGAAGAACTTAGAAACTATATTGTATGTTGATGACATAATTATTTGTTTTAATTCCTGTTAAAAGGAAATAAATCTTGACAATGTTTGAATTTTGAAATTGTTCGATTTAATAACTATTCGAAAAATGCAGTGGCGTGCGCTATAGTTAAACTTATTTATTCAAAAACATTCCACATTTTAAAATGGAGTAACATTCTAGTTAGTAATAAATTTTATTTCGCAAATTCCATATTTATGATTTCATATTATCATTTAATTTAATTTTTATTAGTACGTACGGAAAACAACTTATGTACGAGTTTCCTAGACGATGAGTGATCAATATGCATTTTGATCTGTATATTTTAGTAAAGATTTAAGATATTAAAATTATGGAGTATTTGATTTATAACATAAGTAGTGATATTTATTAATTTCTTAATTATTGATTTTTAATCTCATTTAAAAGTACTAATATTATACGTTCACATGGAATACACATGGAAAAACAAGACGTATATTAAACGAAATATTTTTATTATATATATTATATTTATTTATTAATTCCAAATAAAAACACAATTTTTTTTCAAAACCAAGTAAATATATATATTAAGGAGGACCATACTATATATATATTAAGGAGGACCATATTGCCAATGTAAACATGGACATACTAACTATATATTCTTGAAGATGCATATGTATTTGATTTTATATATTTGTGCTAAAAGGTAAGAAATCTTAAAAAAGTGGACACTTTTTGAATTTTGAAAACTGATCAATTTAGCAACTAATTGTTTTGAAAAAAATAATATATATAGGGGCTTTGGGTAAAATTTATTTGACAAATAACGTTAATTTAATTGAAAATTATATAAATATATATATCTAGCCTTTGGACTTCTCCTTTGATTTTCCCAGCTTGTTTCCATGTTTTGGAACTTTTTGCATATATAATCTATATTTTGGTAATTATATTGAACCATATATTATAAATTGATTTCACACTTATATATTAATCCAAGAAAAGAATTAGAAAAGCAAAATGAAAAGTTTATCCACTGATGAAACAGGTTGCATATACACACTAATTAATTCAGATAAATCATCAAATTAGTGCAAAAACAAGAACATCAATTAAAAGATCAAAAACGAAAACCAAATCGAAACCCTAAAATAAAGTGAAGATTTATTAAGCAAAACACAGAGAAATCCAACAAAGATTAATACATATCGATGGATAGTGAATTAATAAAAGAGGTTGGTTCTTGAATTGCAAACTAAAATCAAGCAGCCATGGCTGCACTACTAAATAGACCCGACAAACTTAAAACTAAAAAACCCGAAAAGAAAAAAAAAAATGAAAATGAAAATGAAAATGATTTAATTGAGGGCATCAGGGCCAGTTCCAGGTTCTAGTCCGAACGGGGCGAAATTATTAGCATCCTGGTTGAAGTTGTACGGATTATACGGCGGCAGCACCATCCCGTCGTCCCAGCTGTAAAACAGCCCGGTCCCAATCGCCGCCCGGCTCGGGCTCTCTATCAGGTTCCAGGGGAAACTCTCCATTAAGTAATCTGCCCCCATCAGCGCCGGCAGCTGCTCCACCACTTCCGCCGCCTGAGGCAGCGCCGGAAGAGCATCCATTGGAGGAGCCGGCGCCGCAAGTGGAGTAGACGGAGGAGGCAGAGGCGCCATTTCCACAACCATCGGATTAACAGGAACAATGGCACCAACCTCATCAGCATCCTCCGCCTCCAGGGCTTCGGAACCAGAACCAGAACCGGACCCGGAGCCCTGGAGAAGGAGGTTTCCCCCGGGATTCCTGATCCCCGCCATCCTGGAGGTCAGGTCCCGGAGGATCTGGTTCAGGATCCAGGTCATCTCCCCCCTGTCGCGGGCGTCAAAGTCGTCGAGGCTAACCATCCCGGCGAGCCACTGGTACAGGAAGTTCTCCATCTCGCGGCGCTTGTTGTCCTTGCGGACGCGGATGCACTGGTCCTCCGCCTTCTTCACCCTCTGCCTGGTGAAGCTCTCCTGGTTCACCATCTTCCGGCATTGGTCCATCTCCGAGAGGCGCCTGAACCTCGCTAGCACCGCCATCGCCCCCTCCTGAGACGGCCACACCTCCGGCCTCGGGTCGTACGGGCTATAGATTATCGCGCACGCCTCCACACCGCATAGCGTGCTCAGCTCGCTCACCTTCTTGATCAAACCCTTCTTCCTTTTCTTGAACGAAGCCTTCCTTTCGGAGTCGTTCGTAATGTAAGCTAGGGTTACCTTCTTTCTTGTCATTTTAATTTTTTTCCAATTTTTTCTTCTTTCTTTTTTTTTTGTTTTGGTTATTTTGATAATTCTTGCATTATGGGGTGTGTGGTTTATATAGACGTTTGGTGGGATTATGAAATTAATTTTGGATTAGTTTTAAATTTTGCTTAGCGTTGTCTTAGTTGTGTTGCAATTAATGTGATTTAAAATTTTAAACTTTTTAATTTAATGTTTGCCCGTTGGATGACAATTCATTTTGTGCTTTGTTACTCCATACTTAGGATTTTGTTATAATGTACTTACCTTAATCTCGGTTTTTAATTGGATGACAACATTCATTTTTATCGGATTTCGACTAATTAAATGAGGGTTTAAATATTTATGACATTCGATTCTCTTTCGTCGACAGGTGTTTACGCAATGGCATTTCAAATTACGTTTTCGGATTTTCCTTTTTTTAAAAATGAATTGCTTACCATGTATCGTTGATTAACACGAAAAAGTAGGGACGATTAGATTTTATCGATAAAGTAACGATATATCGCGAATTTTTCGTTTTGTGTTACAATATCGTTAGTTCACGAACAAAAGTAGAATCATTTTCTCGGGACGAATAGTTACGTATTTATCGATAATATGATAGTTTGTAGCATATTCTAAGATGAGACTAGTTGCAAATTAAGAATTATATTATTATCTCAAATATTAAGTTGTATTATGTTTGTTAATTAGTTTATGCTTGCTAATCTACATATAATCTCTTGAGCATGAGGGGTTTAATTCAGTTTAATTTTGTTAAAACCATATTATTATTCATGTTACAAATTGGAATAACAGTATCTTATTTTTGGATCTTATTAATTACTATAAATATCTAATTAAAAATGATTAATTTTCACTACCTTTAAGGTAATTCCAGGGATTTGATCATAAATATTATAGAATATTCAGGAAAGTTTTCATTTTAAAAATTTGAATTTCTTTGCCTTTTTTTATAAGAGATAATTTTCTTTTCTTACCTATACGTATCAGCAGATATTGATATAAAAATACAACTATCATAATCACAGTAGAAATTATTTAATCACCTTAATTAAATTAATTATATTGCACTGTTAATTTTAATTAATACTATAAAATATAAAATTACAGAGTCGTCTGTCACTAATGGTTCAGGCCGAGCCGAGTGAGATTTGGGCCCAAACTTTTAATTACCAATTTAATTAGGCCCAATTATGAAACACATAACTAAACTTTATTTTAATATTTTTTATTGCTAATTAAATTAAGCCCAATTATGAAAGAAATAACTTAACTTTTATTTTCTGACCCATCTAAAATTTACATTACAAAAAAAAAGATTTCTGAAAAAATAATATTAGAAGAAAATGTAAAAATCCGAAATAAAGTAAAATAGAATAAATCCCATATTAATTAGGATACATGGGATAACACTTAAAGAAGTCAGTATTATAGTTTTACTAATAGATTTAATTTCATGTACTAATAAATTGTAATTTAAAAACTAATTAACAATTTATTTTATTAATTTTTTTTGTTCATAGTTGCTTCGAATAACCATTTTTTATTCTGGATTCAATGTCGAGATCAAGAAAACTTCGATACCAAATTGAAGTACTTGAACTAAAATTTAGTGAGATGTTAAAACTGTTATGCAAAACCCTATACGATATTAAGTGCATGCGTATCTAAACTTAGTTCATAACTTATCGATCAAGATATCAACTCCGACGACGTTGCATCTCGTGTTTCATGTTACGAGGCATGTGTACATATATAACGGTTATTATGAATATGCAACATAAATAGAACTTTAAATATTCGTTATTGTACGTACTTTGTGTACCCTAATTCATTTACTAAGGTTTAATCATCATGATTTGAAAAACTATAAATTAAGCTCTTTTGTTATAGAGAAGAAACCCTCATCATTTAGGAAATTAAAGCCTCTAATACTCCAGAAAGTTATTAATATTCACTAATTAATAATAATATTATTTAGAACAAGTCATGTAATTAATTCATAAACTAATCAAACAACGCTCCAAGTAGCAAATAAATCGATATATATAAAATGTTACGAAGCCTATTGTGACGAGCAACTTGTCGCTACCATGGCGGCCGCACGGCGAGTTTGAAATATACATTGATATATATATGTATATATAAAATTTATATATATTAAAAGTACACAAGATTGTGATTAATTAACATTATGAGCTTATACTTTAGCCTATAATGGAAGGAATTAATTAAATTTAGCATATGATTCTTGGAGGATTAGAAAAATGATGTGTGATGCACAAGTTGCAATAAACTAATGAAAGGGTAGATAGAACAAATTAAAAGTCTAATTAGCTTCAAAATTATTTAATCTAATCTCATACTAAATTCCACAAGAGAGAAAAAGCATAAAAAGGAAATTAAAACAAGAAGATCATTTCTTTGTTTCTTAAAATCACAATCAAGAAAATTAAAAGCAAATTAAGATACCACAAATCAAAGTTAATTAAAAAGAAAAAAAAAAAAAAAAAAAACAATAACCTAAATTTACAACATGGGATTGATAATTAAGTTTATGCCGACGAAGAAGAAGAAGAAGACGATGATTATCTGACCTTTATTAGTGCTAATATTGCTGCCGCCCGCCGGAGTTTCCGGCCCATGCGCCGCCGCCGCCGCCATCCATCGGAATCTGGCCGTTGGGTATATTCAACGGCAAATTGAAGAAAGGAAGTCCCATTGACGATGGATCGGGAAATTGGTCGCCGCCAGCTCCTCCACTTCCGCCGCCGCCGACGCCGCCGCTTGGCGGCGGAGTCTGCATCTGAAGCCCTTCCTCCTCATCGAGCGGCAGCCTCTCGTAGGCCACGTTGGTGAAAGACGCGGCTATGATGATGACGGGTCCGGCAGCAATCAGAGCGCCGACAACGTTTCCGCCGACAACCTGGCCCTGGCCGCCGGCCAGGTATATTGTCAGGCTGGTGGCGCCGGGGGGCGCCGGCGGAGGAAGGAAGGACCCGGAGAGGGAGAGGATCTCGAAGCGGCCGTGGAGCGTGACGACGCTGCCGGCGGCGGCGGGCTGCCGCAGGCTGACGTTGGTGACGGTGCCGGTGCCGCTGAGTATGCAAATCCCGCGCTGCCGCTTCCGCGCGTAGGTTGCAACCGCCTCGAAGACGTCGCAGCCGCTGCCGACCTCCAGTATGTGGGCCCGGAGCGTGTTGGCGCTCTCGCGGGTGATGATCACCGGCGGCTTCGGCTTGTTCTTGGACCCCGCCGGGCGTCCCCGCGGCCTGCGCGCCACCATATCGCCGGAGTTTGACAGGTCGAGACCCGGATGGGAGCCGTCGTCGTCGTCGTCTGCGGCGGGATTTCCGGCGGAGAACTGGTGGCGGTTGGGCTGATGATCATCTTCGGATTGTTGTCGTTGGTGGTGGTGGTGGTCGGCGGAGGATCTTTGGAACTGAGAAACAAAGTGGGAAGCCGAACCTAAGTCCAGACCAGCCATAATACATACAATTACAAACAGGGAAACCAGGAAAATAAAAATAATAATAATAATAATAATTTAGATCGATTAAAAAAGAAAATATTATTATTACAGTATAAAATAAAGGGATTGAATAAATATATTTATTATGTATGAATAATAAAGAAAGTTGAAACCCTAGAAAACAATGGAGGGAATCAAGTACTGGAGAGAAAGGAAAGGTTGAGGAAGGAACATAGAGAGAGAAAGAGAGGCATTACATACAAAGTTGTGTATTAATATAATATGACCATATATATATATATATATATATATATATATATATATATATATATATATATATATATATATATATATATATATATATATTCAAAGATGACAGACTAGTTTAATATATATGTCCTTTTTATTAAAATAAGACCATACTATATGTTCTCAAGTTAAAAAGATAGACTAGTTAATTAGGCAATATATATATAGGTTCATCGGTTTACTGTGTAAATCTTCGCTCTCGTACATTAACTTCCACACTACTTACATTAGGTCAGTTGTAGTCAATGTTGCGATATATATCGATATTTATTGCGATACAATACAATTTGTGTGGAAATGATACAACTCGATCGGCATATGTATGTATAGCTTGTAATTAAATACTGGCAAATATCGTTCGATATCACGATACGATATTTGGTTTGGGGGCGATTTGTCGATTTCTAGCACAATTAGGGGCATTTTGTGCGATTTTCAGCACATTGGGGCATTTTGTGCGATTTTCAACACATTTATTTTGTAACAATGTGTTTTTTGTTTTTTTAATCAAGACAAAGCCGTATAGCCCGCATGAGTATAATTCAACTGGTTCCGGAGATGGTAAGTTGATATAATGTCATAGGATCGAATCCTGGCAGTCGCAGTGTGAGAATTTCAACTCCAATGAGGGTTGGTTCCTTGTGGGCACCAGGTCCGGATCCGCTACCTTAACGGGCCGTTGAGTCACCATGATTTACATTCCTCCATCAAATACTTGTCGGACCAAGGGATGGACCCTATATATAACAATATTAATATTATGCAGTAGAACCTCGATAAATTAATAACCTCGATTAAATAATAGTTTCTTCCAGTCTCGACTTGGTGAAAACGTTTTAAATTATTAACTCGATAATTTAATAATTCGCTAAATTAATAAAAATTTCCTAGTCCCGACTTTATTAATTTATATTAATTTATAGAGGTTTAACTGTGTGAAATATAAAATAAAAGTATATAAAGCACATAAACATAAGTACAGAATAGAATACACAGCATGTACAGTGAAGCCGTTAACGGTTGAGTACTACTTGTAAAGGCTCCTTGAATTCCTTCCCATATTAAATCATTCATTTAACGTATAATTAAGTAATTAAAATGTAATTAAATTGTTTTTATACAATTAATTTGGAATTTGCATGTTACATATGTTATTGAATTCTTAATTAATCAAACATTAACGTGTGTACTATAAGTACACAATTGAATTGAGTACAACAAAGCTTCCAAAGAATAATGAATTTAATTTGACTTGACATAATTTATTTACATCCCTAGGCTTGTCTTATTAAAAAATAAATGTCTCAAAATAGTGGCAACAAAATAAATAAAAAAAAATAAAAAAAAAATCAGTGCTAATTAATTAAGTGGGAGTTTGTTCACTTTTATAAAGCAGCACTAGATGGATGACCATCATTTCAATATATGCATACATTTATTTAATAAAATTCATGGATAGCGTAATCTAGTAATTTACTGTTTCTATAATATACTAAACATTTGATTCAAACAACTTTAGTTAGTAGTAATAATTATATATAAATGATATATTAACTTGGAAACCCATATCATAGGATTATGTTAAAAATGTTGCAATATTTTTCTTGGTTTTATTAAACTAACATGACTATCTGTACGAGTTACCATACAGTAACATTTCGTTATTCTAACGGGTTGTTGAGTCAGCATAATTTACATTCCTCCTTCAAAATCATGTCAGACCGAGAGAGAGGAGCCCTGGAGCGAGGGATTTCACCTCTTGGTGCCAGCAATCGTCTTCGAAACGAATATCTTCCAATAAAATAAAATGAGTGAATATTTAGCAATTCAATATATAACACATAGTACTCATTGCAATTGCAATATATAAACTATAAACCCTACATATATATAGTCAACTTCCATAAGAAACATTGCATATATATATATATATATATATATATATATATATATATATATATATATATATTCAATGACATGTTATCAACTCTCAAAATATAACACAGTCAACAAGCAATGCAATCACATCTTAATTAATACTTATCTATCCCTTCAACCTCTTCAATACTTATATACCTAACACACACACACACAAACACACACACAGACACACAAATACACAGAGAGAGAGAGAGAGAGACACACACACACAATTGCGCGCACACACATAGGAATATGTAAAAGAGTCACGTGAAAATGTTAGAAGTCTAATGCAGCACAAGCAAAAGCCAGTAAAACCCCTTTCACGTATATTTGTAGCTGTTGCCCACGAGGTTTGGAATCGGTCAAACCTCCGTTTGACCGAAAAGACCGCCCCCTGTGGGCCCCCCATCATATATACTACTAGTTTAATTGGGTTCTATTATTCCTTTAATTTTTATTTATTAATTGGGGTTTAAACTAAAATTTCAGGGTTCGGGCAGCGCAAAAGAAAAAAAATTAGGTTCAAAAGAGACCAAAATAAGTTTATTTTGATAATTTTTAATTAAAATAACATGTATATATTATAGTTTTATCATATTTTAAGCATGACAAAAAAATCTAATTTAATTCAAATTACTTTTGCACTTAGTATTTTGGGATTCCTGGCATCGTTTCATATTATTTTTTAGAGTCATAGATAAAAAAAATTAAAAAATAAGAAAATATCCATAAATTTTATTTAAAAAAAAACAAGTTTTAACTATTATATATATATATATATATGTGTGTGTGTGTGTGTGTGTGTGTGTATAATTTATATAAGATTATGGAGAAAAAACAAAACAATTAAGGATTAAGACACATATTTACAAAAACTTTAGGGGGCAAAAGTAATATTCAAAAAATATAGTGTCAAAATACCTAATTTTTTTTTCGTGGGGAGTCAACAGCCCCCCCTGCCCCTTATAAGTTCCGCCCATGATCTTGACCATTATCAAGGCTGACTCAAAACTCAAAACTCGGAACACGGAACTAATTATTCTTTGACTTAGCTTTCTAATCCAATTTGACACCGACCTCCAATCTAGTTAATTCAATTTGGATTATGAATCTACCTTCTAAGAGTACAGTTTCCATGTTTTAGATTTTGCCGATATTATACTAGAAAATGATCAAAATGACGTTCGAAATCAAACAAGTAACAATGAATTATTATTATACATTTAAGTATACTTAATACTATCAAATAAATCACTAATGAAATGCCATTTACTATATGTTCATCGTGATTTGAGTACATTTTACCCTTTTCTTTTAATGAAAGAATCTGCAGTCAATCATATATGTGCAAAAGATAAATATACAGTCTTGTGTAATAATGTACAAATCATATGAGAGATGTAAACCACACTAAGCTAACTCGACATAACTAGCGGCCATGGGCAAGCGAATTCAAATTTTTAACCTATATATTTTACCAATGTTTGTTTAGACAAAATGTATTAATAAACCATCAATTATCACAATTATTCACTTATGTAAGTCTTAAAAAAAAAAAAAACCCTAGTATTGCATGCAATATTCCACCTTGTATATATTGTCAATAATTTTGCGAGTGTTCCACTGCAGTTTCTGATTGGCAAGTGCACCTACTAAACAGTGGGGGTAGGTGTACTTTTTCTTATATCAGATGTATATATATATTATAGATATATAAATAAAAGCTGTATCTGCTTCACTTCTCAAAACCTTAAAAACTGTGTTAATATTACCCCAACCCCCCCACCCCCCACAAATTCCGGGGATGCAGCAGAACCAATGTAATTGGCCAATTGCAATTCTCTTTTTGTATCAAAGTCATACAAATTCAGACACCACAAATTAAAACTCATCATCTGTCATAAACCCCCCACACCACAAACTTTTTGCACACTTTCATTAATCATCACACACACACACACACACACACACACACACACACACACACACATATATATATATATATTGATGTAATGGCAGACTGACAACTGAGTTCTTGTATATGTTAAAGAGTTGAATTTTGTTTGAAAGTCTGATATATGATGTATGTATGTGCTGTGCTGTATGTATTTATATATATATATATATATATATATATATATATCTAAAAATCCAAATTGCTTTCAGAAGATCTACCAGTCTCTTCATCCCCATCTTTTCAATCCCTCTCCACATCATACATCACCATCTCTCTCTCACTCTAGATTTCTCTCTCTACAAACATTTATATTTATATAAAAAAAATGTTTTCTACAAAAGAATGAAAAATAAATTTGAATATGATGAACAAGTGTATTTTGTCCACATGTTAATGTTGTATAATAATACAGTTTTTTATTTTTTTTATTTTTTTTTATTTTTAAATTCTGCTGTTGGTTGGTACTTTAAATTCTGATTATAATATGGTAGTAGTTGATGAGTGGGGCTCATTCATTAATAATTGAGGGTTCGTTTATTATGGTTGCAAACCCCATTTATTTTTTAATCAATAAATAATTAACATAATTCTAGTTTATTCATCTACACAATATTATTTTTTATTATTTTTGGGTTAAAGTAGTTGTTATTAAAATAAAATGTTGCCATTGAAAATTAGTAGAGCAAATATAGTGTGACAAATATAATCCTTATTTTACATTTTAATATAATCCAATCCTCTTTAATAGTCCATACGTTCCATAATATTTGTCTTTCTGATTTGTTGTGCGCGTATTTAAAAAAAAATCAAGAAATATAAATTGATT